GGTATACGTCACCTTGAGTAATGGAAGTTTAATGGACTCTGGGCGTGAGATTTGAGTTGGGATATGTCAAATCTGCAGAGAAATGGGGTGAAAATATCCCCAATTCAATTGTCCATCCAGAAGTCTGAAGCCGGGACAATTGAACCAATCTTGGACCAGTTTGGACTGCTTAAAAGGCCACAGGAAGGGGCTATTCCGCGTGTGGGACATGTGAGTGCTAAGCTTAGGCTCGGCTCAGAAACGCGCTGGCCTTGAGTCGGGTAGCGGCTCCTGTCGGCTCTCCTTGGGCTTGGGCCTATGAGGGCTGGTATGACGCAGCTTGGGCTCGTTGGCCTTGGCCTCAACCTTGGAGTGCATTGGCCTCGCGTTAGCCTTGGGCCTACGAGGTCTGGGCTACTCCAATTGTTGTAGCTACTTGGGCCTCAACTGCCATTGCAACACCGTGGTCTTGAATGTGGGCTACCTTGCTCTAGGTTGGCTGCCTTGTGGCATGGGCATAGGCCTGCTGCTACGAGGTGGCCCGTTCACCATGGCCAGTGGGCTTGCTGAGGGTCACTGTCGTGGTTGCTACCACGGTGGTTGCCACAATGGTTCCTTATGGGGGTGGTGTCGCTTCATTCATCATTGCGTTGAGCTTAATGGATCGTCGTGGTCCAAATCCTTAAACGTAGGAAATTCTGTTCGTTGTGGTTTCTGAATTTCTAGCCATTGTACTTTTCTTTTATGTTTCATCAAAGAATTTTTTAAAGAAAATTCTAAGAATAAGAAAGTATGAAACATCTACAAATGAACAAGAAATGAGAAACTTTGAATGCGAAAGTCTTCTTCAAGCGTGCGAATCAAACTCTTAATGAAAGCACCAATTTGTGGATGCAAATTTCCGCCTTCTTCTTCTTGGACGAAAATGCACCCGCAAAACAATTAACACCTAAGATCAAAGCCAAGAGCCTCAAGCGTCTACGATGAATTGGGGGGGGCTTTGGCCGAAGATTCTCCGATGCCAAAATTAGAATTTGACAGAAAAAGTGTTTAGAGAATTTTAGGACAATAATGGACTTAGGTTTTTGAAGAAATGGGGGGCTATATATAAGGGTATGGCTGGCCCTATTTGGAGAAATAGGGAGCAGCCACTTATGGTAGAATTTTGGCCCTAATTGCAAGATATTGTGTTAAATAATATCTTACAATCAATTTGGTAATTAATCAATTAATTTGGTGATTAATCCTAATTTGAAAAAAGAATAATTGGGAGTTACCTTGTGGGTGAGGATTTGATGACGAGTGATAAGATGGTTTTGAAAAAATATCATTTTGATCACCTTTGACCTCGATTGAGCCGTTATTATCTATTGCATGCGCGTGGGAATCCCGGTGTGCCTCAGGGGTAATTTTGTCTTTTTGCCCCCAAAAGTCCACGTGTCGCCTCCATAATTTTCTGGATTATTTTTTACGCCACACACACTTTTTTCCAAGCCATAAGTTTTAACTTCCTATCTCTGCCCCAAAAGAAGTCCCTACACTCATTATTTAAGTTCTTAGTTACTCAAGTAGGGCATTAAAAGCAAGACATGATATGGTTCGACATACCAATTAAGTTAAGACTTAATAAGGGTTAGTCTTCCTACCTTAGAGAGAGTATTAGCCTTTCAACCCGCATGCTTTTGCTTTACTCTTTTGATTAATTCACATTCATTTACTGGATCTTTCCAAAACATTATATTATGAATGCCCAGATATTTATTGATGGTTGTTTTATGTTGAATATGTAAAACATTGACAATAGCATTTCTAGTTTGAGCATTAGTATTTTCTGAAAAATAAGTAGAGGATTTGTGAAAATTTACTTGTTGACCTGAAGCTTTGGCAAACATATTAAGAACTTGTAGAACATTCCTAGCACCTTTTGTAGTTGCCCTAGTAAATAACAAACAATCGTCTGCAAACACTAGCTTTGATATTCTAAATCCACCACAAGATGACAGAATACCACCATGTGATTTAGGGTTAGTGGCCATTTCATTAAAGTGTCTAATCAATGGTTCCATGCAAAGAATGAAAATATAAAGCGATAAAGGATCCCCTTGCCTAATTCCCTTCTTAGGGTAAAAGTAACCATAAGGAGAACCATTTATCAAAATTGAGAAGGAAGTTAAAGTAATGCATTCCATAATTAAATTCACCCATCTTTCTGCAACACCAAATCTAAGAAGCACATACCTGATATACTCCCAATTAAGATAATCATATGCTTTTTCTAAATCCAGTTTGATTGCCATTGCTCCAGTTCTACATTTCTTACCTATGAAACTGGAAAACATTTCATGAGCTATCAAAATATTATCATGAATAGAACGTCCTGAAGCAAAGCACCTTGATTTCCAAATATGCAGTGGTCGAGAAGGGGCTGTTGATAAACTCATATTTATATATATTTTATATCAAATTCACTTGTCTTTTCTTAGTTAGTTCCTTATATTTTTGAGTTATTTACTTTGTTTTTGTGTTTTGTAGGATTTGTCAAGTAAAGAAAAGAAAAATAACACAAGTGGAATTTTAAGTAATATATTCGTCAAAACTGCCTGTGCAGGTCAGCTGACTTTGGAAGCAAGTTGCGGATAGTTCAGAATGAATTAGAGAATGAGCCTTATATGCTTGGAAATCTACGGATGTCTATTTTCTGGAGCATGTCACGGATTGTTAATATCATTTTTGTAGAAAAAGTTATGGTCGTTCTAACACTGAAAGGTTCCCAGGAGGCTGAGCAGTTTGTAACTGACAAGAAAGCATTGAAAACAATAAATCCCATAAAACTAACAGCCAAAACTGATGCAGCCAAGAGCAAGCCAGCTAACACCTATTCAAATATCAGAGGAAATGAAAAATTAAGTGAGAGTAATGGGCATAAAGGTTGCCCAAAGAGTTACAATTGTTTTAGCATTTCCTCCCACTTATTGTCATCACTAAATGGCTGTTAGTGGGGTGAGTTATGGAGAAAAAAATGTGGCAGCAGAAAAGAAGAAAAGACCTACAAGTTGCAGCAAAGTGGAAGAAAAAGTGTGAAAAAAAAAAGATAGGAAAAAAAGGAAGGAAGCAAGGAAAAAAGGCAAGGCTGCTGCGTTGGGGAAGGAAGGAAAGGAAGGAAAGGAAGGAAAGGAAGGAGGAAATCTTGGCATTCTCTTCTCTCGGTTTTATCTTCTCAAACTCATGTATTTCTTTTGGTTTAATTTGAGAATTATGTGTAACTAATTCTTAGTGGTTAGGGGCTGTTTTGAAGCCCCGAATATGATTGCAAGTTTGTTATGACATTTCGTTTGAATTACTTTTACGAATGGATGAAAATTGGTTCACTACTTGTCTCATTGATGAATTCTTTTTGTGTTTTCTACGGATGCATACTTAGTAAGCATATCTAGGATTCTAATGCTATGAATATGTGTGTGTCTGCCCTTGTCGAATGAGGACCTACATATGTTCTAGAGTAGTACTTGTTAATTGCGATTAACATGTGAACCAATTTCTAGGATAAGTAAGACAACGCCAGTACTTACGATGCCTTGTGATAACTCAAACTCTTTTCGTTGTTAATGATTTCTACTTGTTAAATCTATGAACACACCATTCTAGATTGCATGTTAGGGACTAAGTTAAGTTGAAAACGCCATTCTCTTAACATATTACATAAGAAAGAGTAATAGGTTGGGTTCTAACATTGAGCCAACTTGAGCATCTTCATCCGGAAATAGAAGGAATTTGAATGAAACATAACATGTTTGCATGATTATTTGGTGGTGGATAGCAATTCCCCTAACTCGTTCTTCTTAATTTGCGAACTACTCAAAAATCTGTCTCTGTTCTGTTTTTGTTCGATTTAATTTAAATAGAAAATCAACTCCAAAAATCCCAAACATTTGTGTGAGTGTAGCTCTGTGTGTCTAGTATCTGTATATAAAATTTCGTAGACTTTAGATAAGTGTAAGTCAGTCTAATAATTATTTTTCGGTGGCTGGTCAGTAGGGACAGCAGCCCAGTTTTTGTGACATTTGAAGTAGTTAGATAAAACAATGTTCTGCAGGAAAGACCCTTATTTTCATATGCTACAATTGACAAATATTATTGTTAATAAGGAAAATTAATAGGACATTTGTGTGCTACTTTGTGGTGTGCATTTAATCTTATCAAATTTTTGGCGCCGTGTCGCCGGGGATTGTTATTTCTAATTACTTATTTTTTATTGTTTTCTTTTCTTGTCTAATTAGTGTTTTTGTTTTTGTTTTTATATCAGGTACTCTTCGTAGTATATGCGTACTCGAAGGTCCAAGAGCATTGATCTAGCTTCCTACGATCCTGAGGTTGAACGAACATTTCGAAAGCTTCGAGGAACAATCAAGCAGAAGCGTGCATCGGTGTCTTTACCACCATTTTCTCCACCACATTTGAGTTCGGAAGAGGAGGAAGAACCACAAGAAGGCATGGCTGATAACCGTACTTTGAGGGAGTTGGCAACGCCTAATACGGATCAACAACCATTGTGCATCACATATCCAAATGCAGAAGGAGGATTTGAGCTTAAGTCCGGCATGATTCACTACTGGCCTAAGTTCCATGGCTTCTCAATAGAGGATGCCAACAAGCATCTCATGGAGTTTCATGTGGTATGCTCGGGAATGAGACCAGCCAATGTGGATGAGGAGCAAGTCAAGTTGAGGGCATTCCCATTTACATTAGAAGCTAAGGCAAAGGAGTGGCTTTATAATTTACCTCCAGGATCAATAAACACATGGAACCAGGTGAAGCAAGCATTCTTGGAGCAATATTTTCCGGCCACAAAAGCTGCAAGCATAAGGAAAGACATATGTGCAATCCGACAACAACATGGAGAGCCCTTTGGAGATTACTATGAGTGATTCACACATATGATTGCATCTTGTCCTAATCATCAAATTTCAGAGCATCTTTTAATACAATATTTTTATGAAGGATTGTGTGGTACTGATCGTGTAATGCTTGATGCAGCAAGTGGAGAAGCATTCATGGACAAGACACCAACAAATGCTAAGGCATTATTAAAGAACATTGCTGGCAACACACGACAATTTCGAGGGAGAGATGAGCTACCTCTTAAGAAAGTTAACAAGGTAAATGTTAACTCTAGTATTGAATTACAATTAGCTAACTTGACTAATCTTGTGCAACAGGTTATGGTGGCTCCAAAACAGGTGTGCGATGTTTGTTCAATGATGGGACATGCCACGGATATGTGCCCTTCATTAATAGATCAAGGAGGTCTTGAGCAAGCTAATGCGTTAGGAGGGTTTCAGGGGCAACAAAGACAAAAGTATGATCCATACTCCAACAACTATAACGCAGGGTGGCGCGATCATCCACACTTAAAATGGAACAATCAAGACAACAGACAACAATCTGTTCTCAACAACTATAACCGTCCACCTGGCTTCTTTCAAGCAAGACCGTAGGCACTATTTCAGCCTCAACAACAACAAGCTCCAAGTAAGTCTCTTGAGGATTTAATTGCTTCTTTAGCGAACTCTACTCAATCTCATCAACAGAAAACAGACAAAGCAATTGAAAACCTTGAGCGCCAAATGAGTCAATTAGCAAGTTTGATGGGGCAACAACACCAATCAGGAAGTTTGCCTAGCCAAACCATGGTGAATCCAAATGCGGAGCAGATGAATGTTGTGACGTTAAGGAGTGGAAAAGAAGTTTTTGAGCAGCCAAGGATGCAAAAGAGGACTACAAAAGATACAAATGAGCAAGGGGAGCAACAAACCAAAAATCTTGAGCAAGATGAGGCTTCAACAGAAACTGAAAATTCTCCTAAAGATACAGAATTGAACAAAAAAGATTCTGATAAGGTAAGTAAAGAAGTTCAAAATTCATTTAACTCATGTGTCCCTATTCCTTTTCCTCGCAGGTTTATGAAGTCTAAGAAAGAGCAAACTGATAAGGAAATCTTGGATACTTTCCGAAAAGTCCAAGTGAACTTACCTCTTTTAGATGCCATAAAACAAGTGCCCAAGTATGCAAAGTTCCTTAAAGAGCTTTGTACAAACAAGAGAAGATTCAATGATCAAGAAACTGTGGCATTAAGCGAGGAAGTATCATCTGTTTTGCAGAGAAAGCTACCACCAAAGTTGAAGGATGCCGGTAGCTTTACCATTCCATGTGTAATTGGAGGGAAAGAGTTTGGGAGAGCATTGTGTGATCTGGGGGCATCCATCAATTTGATGCCATATTCAGTGTATGAATCACTAAACCTTGGAGACTTGAAGGAAACAAAGGTCCTAATCCAGTTGGCAGATCGTTCAAATAGATATCCCAAAGGCCTATTGGAGGATGTACTTGTGCAAGTGAATGAACTTATTTTTCCCGCTGATTTTTTTGTTCTTGAGATGGAACATGACCCTATATGCCTACTACACTTCCTCTTATATTGGGAAGACCATTCCTTAGAACGGCGCGTACGAAGATTGATGTCTACGATGGTACTTTAACCATGGAAATTGATGGAGAAAGCGTCAAGTTCAAAATCTTCGATGCTATGAGGTACCCTAGTGATTTTGAATCTTGTTTGTCTATTAATGCGTTTGACTATTTTGTGCAGGATTGTTTTAATGAAGGTGTGGGACAAGACAATTTAGAGAAGGCGTTAGTGCATAGCATTACACATGGAAAACTGAATTATTCTGAGCACATTGAAGAAGAATTAATCCAGACAGTGGCAGCCCTTGAATCTCTTTCACCAATTCGTGGTAAGTTTTCTTCCTATTTTATTTCTCTTCCTACTTCTAACGAAAAAATTCTTCCTTCTGTGATTCAGGCACCCAAATTGGAGCTTAAACCGATTCCTGAACATTTGAAGTATGCATTTTTGGGAGAGGTTGAAACATTATCGGTCATCATATCATCACAACTCACAACAGAAGAAGGGGAGAAACTGATCCGAGTACTGAAGGATCACAAAACTGCCATAGCTTGGAACATTGCAGATATCAAAGGTATAAATCCAGCTACATGTATGCATAGGATTCTGCTGGAGGAAGCTGCAAAACCTACAAGGGAAGCTCAACGTCATTTGAACCCACTCATGATGGAGGTCGTCAAGAAAGAGGTTATCAAGCTTCTTGATGTTGGAATCATATATCCTATCTCGGACAGCAAGTGGGTGAGCCCTGTTCAAGTAGTTCCGAAGCGATCTAGAGTCACAGTTGTTAAGAATGAAGCTAGTGAGCTAGTGCCTACACGTGTGCAAAATAGTTGGAGAATCTGTACAGATTATCGGAAGATAAACAGCACCACACGCAAGGATCACTTTCTAGTTCCATTCATTGATCAAATGTTAGAAAGGTTAGCTGGTCATTCTCATTATTGCTTTCTTGATGGCTATTCTGGATATAATCAAATTGCAGTTGCTCCGGAGGATCAAGAAAAGACGACTTTCACATGTCCATTTGGCACATTTGCATACCGGAGGATGCCGTTTGGACTTTGCAACGCCCCCGCCACATTTCAAAGGTGTATGGTAAGTATCTTTTCTGATATGATTGAGAAAATAATTTAAGTGTTCATGGATGATTTTTCAGTTTATGGTGATTCTTTTGATGCATGTCTACATAATATGTCCCTAGTTCTAAAACGTTGTCAAGAAACTAATCTGGTCTTAAATTGGGAAAAATGTCATTTCATGGTTTCACATGGATTAGTTCTAGGGCATATCATATCTGAAAATGGAATTGAAGTTGATAAATCTAAAGTAGAACTTGTTAGTTCTTTACCTCTCCCTACTACTGTCAGGGAGGTTCGTTCTTTTCTTGGACATGCAGGTTTCTACTGTAGGTTTATGAAAGACTTCTCAATGATTTCTAGACCCTTGTGCCGTTTGCTTCAAAAGGATGCAACATTTGATATGAATGAAGAGTGTGCGGTAGCATTCAACAAACTTAAGGAGTTGTTATCCACGGCTCCTGTGATCATGCCACCAAATTGGAGTTTACCTTTTGAGTTAATGTGCGATGCTTCAGATTATGCTGTCGGTGCAGTTCTAGGACAGCGTGTCAACAAAGTGCCATATGTCATCTATTATACATCACGAACACTCAATGATGCACAGTTGAATTATTCAACAACAGAGAAGGAGCTTCTAGCTATTGTATTTGTTTTAGAAAAATTTAGATCTTATCTGATTGGAACTAAATTTATTGTGTTTTCTGACCATGCAGCTTTGAAGTATTTACTCACAAAAAAAGATGCAAAACCGCGACTCATTCGATGGATACTTCTACTTCAAGAGTTTGACTTGGAGATCAAGGATAAGAAAGGGAGTGAGAATGTTGTAGCAAATCATCTTAGCAGACTTGTGCACTCAAACACAGAGGAAGATTTCATCCCTTTACGTGAGAGTTTTCCGGATGAGCAATTGTTTTCATTAAAGGTTACTGACCCTTGGTATGCAGATATTATCAATTACAAGGTCACCAAAAAGATTCCGGATGATTTTACACGTGCTCAGAAAGATAAGCTTGTCAAAACCGCCAAATACTACGAGTGGGATGATCCTTATTTATGGAAATATTGCCCTGATCAATTGATTAGAAGGTGTGTCCCCGAATCTGAGTTTAAATCTATTCTAACTTTTTGTCATTCTTATGCATGTGGCGGCCATTTTGGAGCAAAGAGGACAACCCTTAAAGTGTTAGAGAGTGGTTTTTATTGGCCTAGTTTGTTTAAGGATGCGTACGAGTTTTGTGCAACATGTGATCGTTGTCAACGAATAGGTAACTTGGGCCCAAGAAATCAAATGCTACAAACCTCTATTTTGATTGTTGAGATCATTAATGTGTGGGGCATTGATTTCATGGGACCTTTTCCATTTTCAAATGGTTTTCTTTACATTTTATTGGCTGTGGATTATGTTTCTAAATGGGTGGAAGCAAAAGCCACCAAAACTAATGATTCAAAAATTGTTTCAAATTTTATTAAGACTAACATCTTTGCAAGATTTGGGACACCTAGAGAAATCATTAGCAATGGAGGGAGTCACTTTTGCAATAGAACATTTGAAGCGTTGCTTAGGAAGTACAATGTCACACATAAGGTGTCTACACCTTATCATCCGCAAACTAGTGGTCAAGCAGAAGTATCAAACCTTGAGGTGAAACAAATTTTGGAGAAAACTGTGAGTCCTAGTAGGAAGGATTGGAGCATGCGCTTGAACGATGCATTGTGGGCATATAGGATTGCTTATAAGACTCCTATTGGAATGTCCCCATTTCGGTTAGTTTATGGGAAACCATGTCGTCTTCCAGTAGAATTAGAACACAAAGCTTATTGGGCGATCAAAGCCTACAACATGGACATGAGTGTTGCTGGACAGCAGAGGAAGCTTCAATTGAATGAGTTAGATGAAATCCGGAATGATGCATACGAGTCTAGTCGAATATACAAGGAGAAATCAAAGGCATTTCATGACAAGATGATATCAAGGAAGAGCTTTGCCATTGGACAAAAAGTTCTTCTATTTAATTCTCGCCTTTGGTTATTTCCAGGTAAGCTTCGTTCTCGATGGGTTGGTCCGTTTGTTATAACTAATATTTTTCCTCATGGTGCAGTGGAAATCCAAAGTGCAAAGACCAGAAACGTGTTCAAAGTGAATGGATATAGACTCAAACCATATTACGAGTCTTTTGCGGAGCATGATGTGGAGGTTGTACCCCTCCAAGAACCAGCTTCCCTTCAATGATTACTCTTGGTACCGTCCGACTGCGGACGTAAAAGCAAGCGCTTATTGGGAGGCAACCCAATATTTCTATTCATTGTCTTTTTATGTCATTTTCAATTTTTCATTTGTTTTTTTTTCTTCTGAATTTTCTTGTGTGATAAGCTAAATTATTTCTTTTCTTTGTAGGAATCTTTGGTTATGTCCACCTTTGGAGATTGCAGAATTGAAGTTTGGGGGTCATCACTTGATTTTACTGCAAATTGGGGAAGTTTTCAGTCCAAATGCTTTATTTTGTTTCTTATTATTTTATTTTATTTTTATTGTATGCATTATTGTGTTTTCTGACATTGGGGACAATGTCCAGTTTAAGTTTGGGGGTAAGGATTGAAAAAATGACCAAATTGAAAATTTTTGTCCCTTTGACTAAGAATTGGTTTAATTTGTTTCTTTGTTGTTGCTTTTTGTTTTCTTAATTAGTTTTGTTTACCCTAAAAAAAAAAAATAAAAACAACCCAAAAGAAGAGAAAAACATTCAAAAAAATTTGAAAATCCAAAAATAGTCTTATTTTCTTTATTGTTTTGAATTAGATTTTTGTTAGTTTCCCGGCCCAATGATATAACTGGATTGAATTTGAACCACGGTGATCAAGAACTTAGTAAGCATGTATTGTGTGAAATTCCTTATTCTCTTGTTAGCCTTGTACATGTTTAATCATCTTTGAAAAACCAAAAGCACATAGCCTTGTTGATGTGAAACTAAAGCATGATTTAAAGCTTCATATGTGAACATAGTGACCATATACAACCTATGTGAGTTTTTGAGCCTATTGAAAGTGTGTGCATTTTTCATACACTCCTATTCTTTCATGTGTGATGAACTTATGTGACTTACATCTTTAGAATTTGCGTAACGATCTTTCGAAATGTTTGTCATTGATTGCATGAACTTGAAAATGATAGAGGCATTAGGTTTATCACCATGGCCCAAATAAGCATGTTTCCTAAAGAAAAATGATATCATTAGATTGTCAATTTGAGCCGTATATGTTAAGCCTTTTATTTCTTATCACCAGATATGTCTACCCTTATACCTTAAGTATTTTTCCTTACCCTTTCCAAGCTAGCTAGTGAGCAATGTAAGATTGTCTTATGAGAAATGTTTGTGAAGTACTTTGAAGGAGTTTGGCAAAAGAATAAGTGTGGGGGTATTTCATGTTTGTATTTAGTTATGTGCGAAAATTGGTTAAAAAATAAAAAAAAATAAAAAAAAACAAAGAAGAAAAAAGAAAGAAAAAGAAAAATTCTATACAAACCAAATAAAAAGTTTAGGGGTGTGATTGGAGGTATTAGTAGAGTGGTTGGAGAGCTTGAGTTCTTATAAATCTCAACAAGAGAATTGCTTGCAATGTAGCTTGGAACTTGTGTTTACCTATCCTTTCATTTCTATAACCCTCTCCCTAAGCCTCATTACAACCAATAAAAGTCCTCTTGATTTTAGTTTTGCAATTATGATTGTGGAGATGAGATCTTTATGCAAGCTTATGGTAGATCTTTCACATTTGATTCTTTGAGCAAAACACGTTAAACTAAACATATGTGTGATTGAGTGGATGTCCCGTGAGAAGGTCACTAGTTTGCATGTGGTGTTTTAAAACAAAACTTGAAATGGCATTAGCATAGCTATTATACACACTACACTTCAAGGATGATTAAAAGGTAGTTGTTAACATTTGCATACGGAAGATGAGCTTGGATTAGCTTCTTTGATGCTTGCTAAGGTTCTTGATGATTTGTTTTCGTGAATGAAATTCTATGAGGGTCACATAGTGGGGAGCTAATGTTTTTCATGTTGCTACTTTTTCATGTTTTCTTTGTTTTGCTCGAGGACTAACAAAAGCTAAGTGTGGAGGTATTTGATAAGCTCATATTTATATATATTTTATATCAAATTCACTTGTCTTTTCTTAGTTAGTTCCTTATATTTTTGAGTTATTTACTTTGTTTTTGTGTTTTGTAGGATTTGTCAAGTAAAGAAAAGAAAAATAACACAAGTGGAATTTTAAGTAATATATTCGTCAAAACTGTCTGTGCAGGTCAGCTGACTTTGGAAGCAAGTTGCGGACAGCTCGGAATGAATTAGAGAATGAGCCTTACATGCTTGGAAAGCTACGGATGTCTATTTTCTGGAGCATTTCGCGGATTGTTAATATCATTTTTCTAGAAAAAGTTATGGTCGTTCTAACACTGAAAGGTTCCCAGGAGGCTGAGCAGTTTGTAACTGACAAGAAAGCATTGAAAGCAATAAATCCCATAAAACTAATAGCCAAAACTGATGTACCCAAGAACAAGCCAGCTAACACCTATTCAAATATCAGAGGAAATGAAAAATTAAGTGAGAGTAATGGGCATAAAGGCTGCCCAAAGAGTTACAATTGTTTTAGCATTTCCTCCCACTTATTGTCATCACTAAATGGCTATTAGTGGGGTGAGTTATGGAGAAAAAACTGTGGCAGCAGAAAAGAAGAAAAGACCTACAAGTTGCAGCAAAGTGGGAGAAAAAGTGTGAAAAAAAAAAGATAGAAAAAAAAGGAAGGAAGCAAGGAAAAAAGGCAAGGCTGCTGCGTTAGGGAAGGAAGGAAAGGAAGGAGGAAATCTTGGCATTCTCTTCTCTCGGTTTTATCTTCTCAAACTCATGTCTTTCTTTTGGTTTAATTTGATAATTATGTGTAACTAATTCTTAGTAGTTAGTGGCTGTTTTGAAGCCCCGAATATGATTGTAAGTTTGTTATGACATTTCATTTGAATTACTTTTACGAATGGATGAAAATTGGTTCACTACTTGTCTCATTGATGAATTCTTTTTGTGTTTTCTACGGATGCATACTTAGTAAGCATATCTAGGATTCTAATGCTATGAATATGTGTGTGTCTGCCCTTGTCGAATGAGGGCCTACATATGTTCTAGAGTAGTACTTGTTAATTGCGATTAACATGTGAACCAATTTCTAGGATAAGTAAGACAACGCCAGTACTTACGATGCCTCGTGATGACTCAAACTCTTTTCGTTCTTAATGATTTCTACCTGTTAAATCTATGAACACACCATTCTAGATTGCATGTTAGGGACTAAGTTAAGTTGAAAACGCCATTCTCTTAACATATTACATTAGAAAGAGTAATAGGTTGGGTTCTAACATTGAGCCAACTTGAGCATCTTCATCCGGAAATAGAAGGAATTTGAATGAAACATAACATGTTTGCATGATTATTTGGTGGTGGATAGCAATTCCCCTAACTCGTTCTTCTTAATTTGCGAACTACTCAAAAATCTGTCTCTGTTCTGTTTTTGTTTGATTTAATTTAAATAGAAAATCAACTCCAAAAATCCCAAAAATTTGTGTGAGTGTAGCTCTGTGTGTCTAGTATCTGCATATAAAATTTTGTAGACTTTAGATAAGTGTAAGTCAGTCTAATAATTATTTTTCGGTGGCTGGTCAGTAGGGACAGCAGCCCAGTTTTTGTGACATTTTAAGTAGTTAGATAAAACAATCTTCTGCGGGAAGGACCCTTATTTTCATATGCTACAATTGACAAATATTATTGTTAATAAGGAAAATTAATAGGACATTTGTGTGCTACTTTGTGGTGTGCATTTAATCCTATCAGCTTTAACCTTTTAATGATGATTTTCGTGATTATTTTATAGCTCACATTGCAAAGACTAATTGGCCTATAATTACTTAGGATTTTCCACTTTTGGAATGAGGGCAATGTTGGTATGATCAATAAGTCTCAAGCTAGTACTATTTTCAAAGAAATCCTTAACCATTGCACTCACCGAATCTTTGATTGTATCCCAACATTCATGATAAAAACTTTCACCAATGTTTTTAACTACATCCCATATTTCAATATCCTCAACAGGCTTGAGTAAAAGTTCATTATGATGATTGTCAATACAAGGATTAATAATATCAACAATAGAAGAGATGTCTACGAAAGCTGGGGAACTATCACAAGAAAACCCTAGTTTAAAATCCTGCACAAAAACCTGTTCCAGACCCTCACCCTCATTCCACCGAAACCCACAACTATCCTTAATCTTTTTAATTTCATTTTTCTTTTTTTCGAACAGTTGCCATCGTTTGGAAATACATTGTGTTCTTATCACATAATTGCAACCAATTTACTTTAGCTTTCTGCATCCACATGATTTCTTCTTGTCGAAGAATTGAATTAAGTTCCTCACTAAGCTTTATTTCTAAATCTATCTCTGAATCAACATTTTGATTCTTCATGATGGTTTCTTTTAAATTACCAAAAGTTGTTTCATTCCAACCTTTAACTAGGTACTTGAAAGTCCCAACACATGCCCTAAAAGTGTCATTGGGGCCAAACACTCCATTGCATCGCCAAGCATTCTTAACAAAATCCTTAAAATCAGGATGAAGAAGCCATATAACTTCAAATCTAAAGGGATAATTATCCTTATACTAATTTTTTAAGATGTAAGTTAAGAGAATAGGTCCATGGTCCGACCCATAAATTGGGTTGTTATGCAGGTTATAATCCGGGTTCTCATTTAACCAATACGAATTATCAAGTCTCTCATGTATTCTGCTGTTATCAGCTTGGTTGTTGCACCAAGTAAAAGGGACACTAGAAGCATTTAGAGATAAAAGACTTCCTCTGTTTAAAAAACTAATGAACGTGGTCATATACGACGTTGTAGATTGGCAACCATCTTTCTTCTCAGTTATGCCCACTATATTATTGAAATCACCCATTAGGCACCACGGTTTATCCTTTGGATCTAGCTTAAGGATATCCTCCCATAATTCCAGTTGTAACTGCTCTTTAGGAAAAGCATACACAAACGTAAAAAACTGATCTTGATTAGAACAAGGATCGTTCACTAAACAATGAAAATAACGAGCAGTCGACGTGATAACATTGACTACAACCTTGGACGAGTTCCAGACTAAACATAGACCACTAGCCGTACCAGCAGGGCTACAGC